AAGTCGTTGGTCTTGCAAAATTCTATCATGTGATCTCCAGCACTATTTCTATCACCAAGGCCAAATTTTCCAACTACCGATGATTCTTCTTTGTTCCCAAATTTTGCATTCCAGTCACCAGTAATAAGCAACACATATTGATTGCATGTTCGGTCAATTTCAGACTGCAGAAGTTGATAAAAATCTTCAATTTCTACGGAAGTAGATTACCCAATCTTCTTCTGAGGAGTGGCCGGTGGGTTTGAACCTCCAGCCTTCTGATTAGCGGTGAAATGCCTTAGGCACTGTGCCACCAGCTGAGCACAAATGGTGTGTGCCCCCAGGGACCTGGTTCTTGCGCTGTGTGGGACGTATGATCCCAAGGGTGGGGGCGTTGATGAGTGAAGCTGGGGTCGCACACTGAGGGTAGAAAGTGAGCCCTCCAGGCAGGGCTGTGGCTTCGCTTGCCGGCTGGACGGGCAAGGGGGCAGGGAGGGGAGGGCCCTGCCCGGCCGCGTCTCACTGCCTGTCCCTTCTCTCTGCCTGCAGAGCACTGTCCTCCGTGGTGGCCCTGGGAGCCAACATCATCTGCAACAAGATCCCTGGCCTGGCCCCGCGGCAACGCGCCATCTGCCAGAGCCGGCCGGACGCCATCATCGTGGTTGGGGAGGGGGCACAGATGGGCATCAGTGAGTGCCAGCACCAGTTCCGTTTCGCCCGCTGGAACTGCTCCGCCCTGGGCGAGAGGACCGTCTTCGGGCAGGAGCTCCGAGTAGGTAAGGGTGCCTCCGGGCCACAGAGCCGATGCTGGCCCCCGAGAGCCAGGCCGGCCGTGCTCCTGCCCTGCACAGCCTCCCCAAGGCTGGCCTCTGCCGCGGTGGTCTTCCTGAGCCTTGATGGGCCTGGAGCAGGAGGCCCCCCTCTGCCAGCCTCTGCACCAGGTCTGAGGCAGGGGCACGGGCGGGAGCTGGGCGGTGTGAGCGGGTGAGTCCGGCAGGCTGGCATGGAGTGATGTGGTGCGGTGCCGTGCTGAAACGCATGCGTGCTTCTGTGACCAGCCATGTGGCCCTGGATGGGTTACCTTACCTCCCTGCCTCTGTATCTATAGCTGGAAAATGGGGTGATAATCGTATTTACAGGCTGGGGTTGTTGTGGGGAGTGGATGAGGCCAGTCCTGGGGCCCAGCAAGTGCTGTGAGGACTCTGGGTGGGAAGGGAGCGCCAGGTGGGGGGAATGTGAGCAGAGTGGACAGGCTGCTATGAAGACATTGGGGAGCACTGAGGACCCCGGTGGGCTGCGGGCAGGTGGATGGGGCATGATTTGGAGTCGGGACTCGGGAAGGGGGCAGCTCAAATCCAGTGAGCAGCAGTGGGGGGCGACGTGGTGCTGTAGAGGCCGTGAAACATGGGGTGGGGGTGGCGGTACTCCTGCCTTCACAGCTTCGTGAAGGAGGGTCCACTGAGCTCGTTTCACAGAGAGGAGGACTGAAGCTCATAGAGAGGCTTCGTGGACTAAGTCAGCCTCTGGAACCTTGTCTGGGTGGGATTCAGCCAGGTGACCGTGGGCACATCTGGGGGTGTCACCCAGGACCTCAGTTTCCTTCTTGGTAATGGGGGCCCAGGAGCCCCTCGGTGGTGCAGATGGAAGTGCTGGACTCCCAGCTGAAGGGTCGGTGCTTCAAACCTTCCCTGAGACACCTCAGAAGTAAAGCCTGTGATCTGCTTCTGCAAAGTCGCAGCCTTGGAAACCCTGTGGGTTTCTGTGCGCGAGGTCACTTGATAGCAATTAACGATAACAAACGTGAACACCGCCGAGCCTTGCCCAGGGCCTGTATGCAGTGGGCGCCCAGGATCTGCACGGGGTCGGTGCCCGGGGCCTGCACGGGGTTGGTGCCCAGGGCCTGTATGGGGGTGATGCCCAGGGCTTGCACAGGGGTGATGCTCAGGGCCTGCACGGGGTCGGTGCCCAGGACCCGCACGGGGTCACTGCCCAGGGCCTGCATGGGGTCAGCGCCCAGGGTCTGCACGGGGTCGGCGGTCAGGGCCTGCACGGGGTCACTGCCCAGGGTCTGCATGGGGTCAGTGACCAGGGTCTGCACGGGGTCGGTGCCCAGGGCCTGCGTGCGGTTGGTGCCCAGTGTGTTGCTGTCAAGTGGTCGAAGACAAGATGTGGTGTGTCCTGTTGTGAGGCTGTTGTGAGGGTCAGACGAGGTGGACCTTGTACATGGCACCAGGCGTGCAGGGGGCCCAGGAGCCCAGGCCCCGGCCCACAGCGCAGCCCATCCTTCTGATTCCTGAGGGCCAAGGGCCTGGGCTGCCGAGCGGAGCCGCAGCTGCCAGGCCCCGGGCCAGAGCCAAGCTCTGCGGGCTTGGAGCTTGGGCGCGGGGCTGGGGGTGGCGCAGGGGAAAGCCCCTAGGGGCCCCTTTGCGGTGAGCAGCCCGTGGGTGGCACCTGGCACAGCCAGGAAGGTGGCACCGCCCCCTCCCTGGGGCCCCGCCACCCAAGTGCAGGGCTCTTCCAAGCCAGCCAGGGAAGGTGGGGCTGCCCTCCCCGATCCCCTCGGAAGGGAGGGTGCCATGGTAGGGTGCCCTCCTGCCAGGTGCCCACTCAGCCACCTGGCTCCTCGCCCTGCGACCTCGGCTCTGAGGCAGCCCTGAGCACCCCAGGCCAGGGAAACTGAGGCGTGGAGAGACTAACGGTTGCCGTGATTCCAGCTTAAAGCTGAGCTGGATTCGGGTCTTGGAGACCCTGCCTGTAACAGTCGGAGTGCCTCTTAGTAAAGTCAGTGGAGGGGCAGGGAGGCGTCCGTGGGGTTGGGGCTGGGCCTTTACTGAGGCCCGGAGGCTGGGTGTGTGGGACACAGTGGCTGCTTTGAGTGCTTCCATGGGGTCAGGCCCCAGCCAGGGACCACCAGGCCCCAGGACCCTCAGGGTCCTCCAGGACTGTCCCAGAGCTCAGACAGGCACTCCTGTGGCCTCCTGGACCACCTTCAGTGAGCCGTCCACCCACCCCTGGGGCCCATACATGGCCCCTCTAGAGGACAGGACTCTGGGGGTACACAGCTTCCCCAGGAGGGGTGGCCCACAGTCAGGGACTGATGAGTGCCGGGGGTCTGTGGGCCACTCATGCCCCAGCGCCGTGGGTCAGGCCGAGCCCGGCCTTGCTGAGCTGGCCTCCCTGTGCTGTCCATGTCCCCCGCTCCCTGTTCTCCTGAGAGCACCAAACCCCCATCTCAGGCTCTGATTCTAGGGCCCCACCCAGGGCGCCTCCACTGTCATGAGTGTGTCGGAATCAGACTTGGTGGCAGAGCTGTGGACACCCACGTCTCCTCACTCTCTCTGCCCAGCCAGCCTTCTGCTCCCACCACTCCTGGCCAGGCCACTGGGGAACCTTCCTTCTCTGTGCCCATGCCTCTCTCAGCTCTGTCCTCTGTCCCCGTCCCCCCACGTCCGCCTGCTGCCCCCCTCTGTCCCTGTCCCCCCATGTCCGCCTGCTGCCCTCCCTTTCTGTCCCCGTCCCCCCACGTCCACCTGCTGCCCCCCTCTGTCCCCGTCCCCCCACGTCTGCCTGCTGCCCTCCCTCTCTGTCCCCGTCCCCCCACGTCCGCCTGCTGCCCCCCGTCCCCGTCCCCCCACATCTGCTTCTTGCTCTACCCCCAAGCATCTCTCAGCTCTGTCCTCTGTCCCCGTCCTCTGTCCTGAACGCACCCACCTTCACCCCCTGCACCGGCTGTGCCTCCTCCTTGCGGGCCCCTGCTTCCTCTCCACGCGTTCTCCTGTCTGTCTCTCTGTCCTGCTGCCAGCAGCCAGCGTTGGCTGCTCACCTGACCATGCCCCCGTGTCCAGCGCTCTTCAAAGTCCTCCCTCCCAGAGCCCTAGGCTTCTGCCCATGGCCACTCCGGCCCCCACTGTATCACGAGCCCCTTGCTTACCTCACCCTGCCACGCTGACCCGGACTGCCAGCACCTCCCCATGGGCAGTTCCTTTGCTTGGAAACGCCATTCCATCTCAGTCCCACCTAGTGAGCCTTCATCCCCCTCCAGACCTCAGCTGACTGTCACCTCCTCCGGGAAGTCCTTCCTAATTTCTCTGTCGAGATAAAGGCAGTTGGTCACAGTGGGCATTCAACAGCTGTGTGGTCGCTTCTTCATATGAGTCTCTCCGATGACTGGGAAGCTCAGGGCCAGGCCCTGAGGAGCACACAGTGAGGCCCAGGACGTCCTGGGTGGGCTCAGGAAGTGGCTGGGGCCAGTGGAATTGAAGGCCTGATCCTCAGGGAATGAGGTGTCCTGGGCCGGGCTTTGAGCGGTTGGTGTGTGTGTGCAGAGCGTGTTCATGTCATCCCCATCACAATCCCCGTGGGGAGGTGGAGAGCAGGCAGGTGCAGGTCCACCCCAGCCACCCCTCCACTCTGTTCCCGTGGCCACTTCAGGGAGTGTCTCTCTGGCCCTCACTGGGCAAGTGTGACTGCCACCTCCACCCCCTGCCAGCCTGAGCTACCATCCCATGTCACTCCCTTCCTCCGAAACCTGCCGTGGCTCCCTATTGCCCCAGGAAAACGTCAGCTCTAAGCCTGCCATCAGAGGCCCCTCTCCCACGCCTCAGCCCTGCTCCCCGCACCCCTTCTCAAGACCATAGCTTCAGCTGCACCTGAAGCCCTCTTTCTCCACCCCTCACTTGACTCCCCGTTTTCTCTGTCTGGGAGGCCCTTCCCCTCTGCTCACTTATTCACGAGTTCCCCATTGTGGGGGCGCCCTTTCCACGCCCCTTTGGCTCTTCACTGCCACAGCCACGTCATTGCCACCCCTGGTACTCAGCACACCTGTCCTGGGTCAGCTTGGCACTGGCGACTGGGCCTCCCTGCACTTTGTCCAAAGCCCGCATCACGGTTGCCCTGCCTGAAACCCACCCTCAGTCCTCACTGCTCCTTCCTGTGGGGCTAGCTCCTGGCTGGGAGGCATGGCCACTGAGTGTCACAGCCAGAGGTGGGACTGAGCACGGAGGCCGGCCACGTCAGAGCGTGCTGGGCGCCCCAGGCCTGGCACGGAGCTGGGCCGTGAGCTGGCAGGCAGCCGGGGTGCTCATGCAGCCACTTGAGTGGTGCCAACTAATGATTGGTCCTGAGAGGGGGCCTGGCCTGGGTGGTGGGACAGGCCCCTGCAGGCTTGGCCTGTGACCTTGGCCTGTGCCTAAGTTTTCAGAACGAATAGAGAACCTTTAAAAGGTGCAAACCAACTTTTTCCAGACTAATGCTGTTGCTTGCCTGGCTCCAGGGATGGGTCTGTCCCTCCTCCACAGTAGCCAGATTTTTCATATGATAAGCCTGGGCTGGCTTTGCCCTTCAGGGGGTGCAGGCCCACGCTAATCAAATCAGGACTGGGTGAGGTCTGCCCTGAGGAGGTGTTGCAGATGTCAAGACTCGAGGAAGTGTCAGAGTGACCCAGGCCAGCCTGGAGGCGAGCGCAGGGAAGGGGGTTCCAAGTGGAAGGAACAGCATGTGCCAAGGCCCAGAGGCCCAGAAGGAGGCTGTGTTTTCCAGAAAGTAGGGCAGCTGAGTCCTGCAGGAGAGGCTGGAGCACTAGGGACAGGGCTGGGGCACTGTGGACCCAAGGGCTCCGGAGGTGCCGAGCTCACAAAGGATCTCCCGCCAGTCCCTGCCCAGAGCCCCCCAGGCCCCATGGGCTCAGGGGCTGTGGCACGCATGCTCCCTGCCCCCAGCCCCACCAGGCTGCATGGACCATTGCATCCTGCCCCACGTGCTGGCCTCAGACATGACT